AGAATGGAGATCACGACTGGATAAGAGGCTGAAATCGCTGAATTAGGAGTTGTTTCTTGCAAACAACTATGGATTCTAAAGATTTGGATTACATCAAACTAATAAAATTGATGTATTTTGTGAATTTTTGTTGTGTTTTATAGGAGAAAACGCTTTATGTGTCTCAAGGTAAATAAACTATTACAAAATGGTTGAACGAGTAACGTTAAAGAATGTATATTTTTTAAGGTTTTATAGTGTATTGTTTAACACCATGCAGGCGAAACGAGCAAAATGTTAATATTTATGAGTATTATATCAATAATGCGACTGAAAACCTCATTAATAAGACAGTGGGATGCAATAGAGTCAAAACATAATGCTACGATATTAATATGCATAAATTGTGATACGTACAATGCGTACGTCGGTGGATTTGTTCATACGTAAATAAATTACGTTTTTGTGCTGTCAATACGTAAATATTTTACGTTTTAGTACTGTAAATACGTCAGTATTATACGTTTCTGCGCATATAAAACGTAATTATATATACGTATGATAGAACGACACTTTACGTACACATACATACGTATTCTCATGAGATCACGTTGTAATAATTGTTGCTTTTATGGGTTTTGAACGGTTTTGTTGCGTCGGGGCGCGAGGCAGTATGTGTGTGCGCGTGTATCTGTGTGTGTGTCTGTAAGTTACGCTCAGCGCAGCTTCTAGGTCTCCAATGTAAATTTTTTTTTTAAATATGTGAAATGTTTGTCGCTGTTATTGGAGTTGTCATAAAGAATAGAGCGTCTTGTAGTACTGCAGTGCTTTATCAATATGTTTATGCGTTATGCTAAAAAACAATAACTGACTGGGTCTGTCATCTGACCAATCACCGCCGATTAGCGTCACGCAAAGGAGTGGTTTGGAAAAATAAGTCATTGTACAAATCATTTGGGAGTCGGTGAGCAAATCAGTTAAAAATAAATGCATATTATAAGACAAATAAAGTGTTTTTTATCCTTGCATGCATGTTAAACTGTTTTTGGGAACTCCTAAAACAAAAATAGGAACATTTCAAATGCTATGATAGGGGCTCTTTAAGCAGGGTTTAAACCCTTTTCTCAGTTTCCTCTTGTGCTAAAAGCCTCTCTTGAACAATGTATCCCCTCTCACACTATCTCACTCTTCTATCCATATCCATATCTTATTTCTGCTCTCTCCCGCTAAACTCATCTGTTCCCTGTGGTCATCTGAAGACCATGAACAGGCATTAGTCTCAGCTCAGCTGATGTCACACACACACACACACACACACATTTAAACTGTATAAACTGTATTATTAGTACTAATTTTACTACTGTGGGATTTTACTGGAATTACTAAACCATAATGCGAATACACACACACACACACACACACACATTTATACGGTATAAACTGTATTATATTAATATTAATCTTATACTGTTATTACTATCTTTTGGGGACCACACACACACACACACACACACACACACACACACATTCTATCTTTTTGGGGACCACACACACACACACACACACACACACACACACATACTCATTACTGTTCTCTCTTTCTCTCTGCAAACATTAGTCTCCCTGCTGCTGAAAACTGAACCGGATCATATATCCTCTATCGATCAGCCGCAGATTTAATCGGCCAGCCCAGCTTCCCTTCTTTATCTCCTCCTTGTACTTTGTGGAAACTAATTTGTGCTTGCTGCTTCTAGCAAGACTGACCTTTAAAAGGACATAAAGACTGGAAGTGGAGCTAAATAGCAAAGTCAAATAACTCACAAAACTCAGCTCTGTCTCCCATCTTAAAACTTTTGAATTAGTATAGTAAAATCCAGATTAAACAAGGTAATTCTTCCATAATTTATTCACTCTCATGTTGTTGGGTGAAGGAATATTTTACCCTGCAAAAATAAACTGCAAGTACATCATATAGGAATATATGACCTTACAATACGGAGTTATATAAGTTAAGTGCAGGAATCAAAAAACAAGCACATCGATTCTTGGAAAGGAAAGAAAAGAACATTAAAAGAGTCTCCAAGAAGCACACAATGCAGAATAACATTTGCTTAGACATATCCATACAATGGAACCAGACTCTTACAGCTCTCAATGTCATTTGTCTGGGTTTGTCAGTGTAACCTTTAAGGTGCTTGTTGCTTATTCAATCAGAGACCTTGAGGAATATATATATATATATATATATTGTTTGTGTATGCTGAATGTCAGCAGTCTTACGAAATGAGGCTGCTGGTTACACCAACACTACCTACAATCCTCAATGTTTCTCTGGCACATAAGGATAGTACACTCTTAGAAGAAAAGGTTCTATATAAAACTTTAAAGGGTTCTTTCAGGCACTTCAATGTGTGGGATTGGTTTGTGGATTTCATTTTATTTAATTAATTTAGTTTTAATTCACATTTAATTTGAATTACCTTGTATGTATTAAACAGTTCATAAATATTTATCACTCAAATAACCAGCTAAACAAGAAAGTATTATGCAATCATAATCAGTAATATGCAATGTTCAAAGCAACAATGGACAAAGCTGACTTTCATTGTATGAATAATAATAAAAACCACTGAGACCACTTTTAAAAATATCTCCTTTTGTGTTCTAAAGAAGAAAGAAATTCATATGGGGTTGGAATGAAGAGAGGGTAAGTAAAATGACAGAATTTTCATTTTTGGGTGAACTGTCCCTTTAAGAAAATAACACATCCAGCTTCAACAGAGGCCATGGCGGCTTTACCCAGATCAGAGCTCTGTGGGTGGGGTGAACTGGTGCACAGATCACGAGGCCACTGCACTACACAGCCAGATAATTGAACCCACATGTGGAGCTAACATCTACAAACTGGCCAGACAGTCTGTGCATCCTTAATTAGTGCCTGTGTGTGTGTGTGTGTGCGCGTGTGAGACGTTGTAAATGAGCAAGCATTGACCAGTTTTGTCCATGCAAGGATAATGGCTCCCAAATCACAAGATCACAATGTCCTCTATGTCATTCAAAAAGGCTTCACCCAAGCATATACACAGAACCAGTAAGTCATCAATAGCATGTGCAAAATGCAGACTAGCCTCAATATATCACATTCACATTTACCGCCTTGTTTGCACTAGGATTTTCTACTCGATATTGCATACTCTGATTTCTCTTCTCCCCATTTCACTCCTCTTCATCAGTGAGACCTCTCTCTGAGACTTCACCTCACATAGTCACCCTGGCCTGATCTCTTGAGTCAATCAATGGTATGGGGGCATGTGTGCTTCTGGGCTGCCTCAACCCACATACATATGCACTTACTGAAAAATTGATGACTAAAAAAATTGTTTTTTAATAAGAAAGTAAGGGAACGAGATAGACTGAATAACAACTGTGCACACCAGCATATTTGCTAATTTTACATATGGAGAAATGAAAGCTTTTTGGGGAAACATCACTCACATGCATGCATAAAAATTATACACCTTTATTTTCATGCAGGCCTGATGGTGAGTTGGCTTTCTTTGGCTGTACAAACAGATTGTGATTGTCAAGGCCAGTAGAGCACATTTTTATGCAGTTCACAAATATCCCGTAAACATTATCAGAAGGGAAGGGCTGGACAATTACCTTTGCTTTCCCTCTCTCAGCTTATGTGGGTGTCTTTGTATTTCTGTCTGGTTTCTGCTGGCACTCTTATTCAACATCGCCCCAGTCAATAATTGAATCAATCAATCAATCAATCAATCAATCAATCAATCAATCAATCAATCAATCAATCAATCAATCTATCTATCTATCTATCTATCTATCTATCTATCTATCTATCTATCTATCTATCTATCTATCATCTATCTATCTATCTATCTATCTATCTATCAATCAATCAATCAAACCCCTCCTCCCTCTGGAGCTCCAAACAGAAACAGGTTTACAACATTTGTGGACAGACTCAGTTAGACTACAAATTGCTTTCTCTCCGACCCCTTTTAAGTTAAAAGTAAATCTCTTTTTGTTCTGGCAACACTCTTTTATTATGCAACACACATGCCCAAACACTGAACACTCTTGCTTTCTGATTACATAATGCAACTACTGTATACACAGGTGCAGTTCAAATTCTGTTCTTTTACTTTTTAATGTCTATTCATTTTTAAAGAGGATGCTATGTTGTGTATTACATCATAAGTTTTGCCTTATCTATTTTGAAATGATGCCTATAAAATAGCTTAACAGCTTAAGAGATAAAAACAAAAAAGGAGAAAATTGACTTGATTTAAAGGGATACTCCACTTTTTTTGGAAATAGGCTCATTTTACAACTCCCTCAGAGTTAAACAGTTGAGTTTTACCGTTTTCGAATCCATTCAGCCGATTTTCTGATATTTACTGTAGAAGAATATCAGTAACCAGACAGTTTCTGGTCTCATTGACTACCATAGTATATATTTTTTTTCCTACTATGGAAGTCAATGAGACCAGAAACTGTCTGGTTACTGAGATTTTTCTCTCAGAAAATCGGCTGAAGGATTTGAAAATGGTGAAACTCAACTGTTTAACTCTGGGGGAGTTGTAAAATGAGCCTATTTCCCAAAAAAGTGGAGTATCCCTTTACAATAATTTGAAGCGATAGATGACAAAAAAAATAATTAATGCAGTACACTGTTCTTTCACATGGTAATTTGGGTAACAAAATGTAACAGAAAGGGTAACAGAAATGTGAACTGAGGAAGACAGAAGATGCTACAGATTAACTTTGCCCGGCTCTGCCCAGGAAGGGCAAATGTGCAGTACATGAGTTAAAAAAGATATAACATTAACCTTCACATGTCAAGAGAGAACTGGGGAAGTAGTGAGAGAACATAAAGCACAATGTCTAGAAGAAAAAGACTGGGGAGAGTTGAGAAAAAGGGGCAAGGACAGTGGAAGTAAGGAAGTGGAAGTGCGATTAACAGAGAGTTCAGTCTGAAATTTCCTAGTAGATGCATGATTTCAACTGGCAACATGTGGATTTTGGAAAAAAACACACCAAAGCAGCCTGGAGGCGTAAAACAGCGTGTCATCGGTGCCCTGCTGTACTGCACTGGAGAAATGAAACAATTACACACTCACATACAGGGTAAGAGACCGCCATCCTAGAGTACACAACATTCAGCTCATTCTAATATAACGTAGCAGTACATTTGAATGTAAAAGTAAAGGAGTTTAAAAGTTTACAGCCTATAGAAAATATCGTTTTTTTTCTGAAAATAAAAAGCATGACACAATTAAACTAAGAAAACTGTGCTGAACTATCAAATTTGCATGGTTGCACATTGCACACATCATTTTTGTTGATAAATGTTGTTAAAGTTTATGTATTATTTAAAAAGGAGTCAATAAATGGTAAAACAAAGTAATCTGCGTTACCTTTTTGAAAAAGTAACAGATATTTTGTTGTACATTTTAAAAGTAATGCATTACTTCACTATATAGTAACTTGAAAAAGTAATCCTTTTTTATTATTATTTAACAGTCAGACATACATACAAACAAACCAACATAGTGTAGTAGTGAGCAAACTTGTAAATCCATGATTCCATGGTGTGAGTGTGGGTATGTGTATGTGTGTGTAAACAAAGTAACCATTTATTATTTATTACCATTGTCCATTATACCATTGAAAAAGTAATCCTGATTACGTAACTCAAATTACTTAATGCGTTTCCCCCAACACTGATCAGAGGGTTGTGCGAATGTATGGATTTATGTGAATTTCATGCATAGCTAGCAATAGCACACTCATAAAAGGAATTTTACACAACCTCATGTCATTTACACAGCCTCATGTCTGTTATGTTTGCTGAGAGACGAGGCAGAAAGAGAAACCATGACATGACTCCACATGACAGGAACATCTGGATCGATCCACTAAAAAAACAATGACTAGCCAAGAACAACTAAAAAGCACAAGCTTAAATACAAAGAGAAATCAATAATAGTTACTGTAAAGACAAGTGTAACTAATGACGGTAATAAAACCTAATACGACAAGGAGAGACTGAAATAAACAGGAAGAGAACATGGAAACTATGAGAACAGAGAATGCACTTCAACATAAAATCAATACTAAACAAAAGACAAAGAACCGGGATCTGACAATGTCTTTTGAAACCCATATGACTCATATGATTCTGTGGAATAAAAATGCTTCTAACCAATGAAAGTATGAAAGTGAATGGTGACCATGGCTGTCAAGTAAGATTTTCAAGGCAAAACTTCAGACAAAATTTTCACATAAAGCTATCATAGCATCAGTAGGTGTGGAATATATTGCATGAATTGTCCACATTTCAGGCTTTGATGCTTCTTTGTGAAGAGACCTGCAATATCTGCTACATATTTAAAATGGCATTGACAGAAAAAAGAAACCTATATGTTTGAAATGACGGAATTGTTCTTTTTGGCTATGTATCTCTCTGTATTTCCCTCTTTTCCTACATTCTCTCCCAGATAAATCCTTCCCACTGCAGCTCTCTGAGTGGTGTTTACGTGGGATCTCACGGGTGATTCTGCTAAACAACCCCCTGAGTGGAGCTCTGATTCTGGCAGCATTGCTGCTGGAGAGCCCTTGGCAGGCTCTGCTGGGGATGCTCGGCCTTTTGGCCTCCACCCTCACAGCTATAATGCTGGGACAGGACTGGTGAGGAATTACACACCCACACAAGCACAAAAGCATAAACATCATCGACCAAAACATGTATGAATAAAACACAAAAGGACATGCCTATAGCAACAAAAAAAAAAAAATTGCGTATTAATGAAACAAAATGCGTATTATATACAACAGAATGCACTGATTACTGTTACTGATTAACTAAAAAGAATCAGACGTACAAAATATTCGCTCAGGAATCAAAATGCACTCCAGCTCTGTAGGCTGCTGCATGTTACTGATTCACTAAATAGAACCGGCCCATAATAAGAGACTTGAATTGGTCGCAGTGTTTGTTACTGATAAATTCAAGGGAAACTAAACCCTAAAACAACTTTTTTTTAGTTAAAGGGGTGATGAACTGAGAAATCAAATTTTCCTTGAGCTTTTGACATCTAAGAGGTCATCATATTGTAAGAATATCCAACCCGATCTCACGACCAAGTCGTACGAATTCGACGAATGATTAAAAAGTGGCTAATTCGTAACAATTCATACGACCTCACTCGTACGAATTAATACGATTTTGCTAAATCGTACATATTTTACGAATTGGCCAATTCGTATGAATTCGTACGAATGACCTACCCCTTACCCCGCCCCTAAACCTAACCATCACATGGGTTTAGACAAATCGTACGAATTAGTACGAGTGAGGTCGTACAAATTAGTACGAATTAGCCACTTTTTAATCATGCGTCGAATTCGTACGAATTGGTCGTGAGATAGTGTTGGAATATCCGATAAGTTTCAGAACTGAAAACATCCTTGTTAGTCCAATAAAAGCTTTTATTGACACTAGGCTTAGCAAACAACTCGTTTTTAAAAGTGGGGAACTATGACGTCAAAGAGGATAAAACACCACCCCCGCAGAAGATGATCAACGCCTACTTTAACATGGCCGGTTTAGCCCCGCCCACCGATTCGCGCATTACACGCATAGCTAAATAACTTAGGCCTACCTCATGATGATGACAAGCCGGATCCAGCTACCGAGCAATAAACATGCCGTTTACAAAATATTGTGCAGTGCCTGGTTGTGGAAGAAGACAGTCGCTGCATAAGCTGCAAAATTATTATAATTATAATATGCAAAACTGTTATCCACTTACAGCAGTGGGCGTTTGCTTCCAAGTCTTCAGTGCGAGACGCCCATAAAAACCGAGCGTTTTTGAGCTAGGTTAGAAAATAGCCTTTTACTTATTCATTTTGAAGTTTCTGAATGTAAAAACCAAGCGAACGTCATAAGTTGACCTCAGACAACAATATAAATCATTTTAAAAAGTCAGTTCATGACCCCTTTAATGATCTGATAGACTGGGGCTTTATTAATGCTGTTCATTGATTCTTTAGTATTCTTTAGTATTGATTCAAAAGTTGTTGGTTTTTACATTTGGGTATAAAGTGTTTTAATTCTA